TCTGCTTTCAGTGCGGCTGGTACTGGGGGCCGATGAACTGGGAGGACGCCGAGATGAAGCTGAAGGGGAAACCGGACGGCTCGTTTCTGGTGCGGGACAGCTCGGACCCGCGCTACATCCTGAGTCTGAGCTTCAGGTCGCAGGGAATCACACACCACACACGCATGGAGCACTACAGAGGTAACGCACACACCTGTGCAGCGCCGCGCCTCGCCGCGAGCCTGCGTCCCCGTCTCACGGTTTCTCGTCCTGCAGGGACGTTCAGCCTGTGGTGTCACCCGAAGTTTGAGGACCGCTGTCACTCGGTGGTGGAGTTCATCGAGCGAGCCATCATGCACTCCAAGAACGGAAAGTTCCTGTACTTCCTGCGCTCGCGAGTCCCAGGTACCAGCATCCAATCAGCTCCATGATATCTGTGGCTGCACAAGCACGTGACCTCGGACGCACCACAAACACGTGGCTGCAGCCGCTCGGTCAGGGAGCCTCGTGGTCACAGCCACACTAGTGTGACCTCCATGTTTCGTGCTGTCAGTGATGCTCCGTTTTGTGTTCAGGTCTGCCGCCGACCCCCGTCCAGCTCCTGTACCCGGTCTCCAGGTTCAGCAGCGTGAAGTCTCTGCAGCATCTCTGTCGCTTCTGCATCCGACAGCTGGTCCGGATCGACCACATCCAGGAGCTGCCGCTGCCCACGTACGTACCCGAGCGCGCCCACGTCAGACACGGTCCTCCTGACCTCAGAGACGCAAAGCTGACGTTTATCTGTCCCGGGCACGCCGGGCGAGGATTTAAAACAATAACTTAACCCAAAACAAAACGCATGAAGCGCTGCAGCGTGACTGAGAGCAGCGGCGGGTTTTTCTTTAAAGCATCCTTTGGTTTAGTTTCGTTGTGCAGCTTTTTGTTTATTTGATCCTTCGTGTCAGTCTCACATGTTTGATCATGTGATGTAAGCAGCTGCAGGTAGAGTCTCACCTGTGACTCGTTACAGTTTGATGCGCTCTCACGGTGACCTGCTGTTAGCGAGCACAGAGCTCCCCTCACAAGCTAAAGCTAGCTGAGAGCCTCGGTATGAGTAACGGATCGAGGGTGATCTAACCCCGTCGCTGTGACAGAGACGATCCAGAGCCGCGTCCTGTCATCTGCTGAATTGCTGTTATTAAATAAATCAGTCGGTGCGTGTCTGCGTCGAGGTCCATGTTGTAAAAACGCGTCTGAATGTCGGAGAGCGTAAGCGAGCCGCTAACATCTGTCCTGCTCCCCTCAGGCCTCTGATCGCCTACCTGAGGAAGTTTTATTACTACGACCCCGAAGAGGAGATCAGCCCCACGCTGAAGGAGGACAAGGAGCAGAAGGAGCGGGGGACGGAGGGCGGCGGCCAGCCGGGGGTCGAGTCACAAACGTAGCACCGGAGCCCGAAGCCGGCGTGAGTCATCTCCACGTTTCAGACGCGCTCAGATCAAAGCTTTTATTTATTTTTAGCTGTTTCAGAGGAACTTGATGAAATCACAGCAATAAAAGAAAAGTGTCAGTTTGATGATCACTGTTAGCTTTATTAATAACTGCTCTGTTAGCATGTTTGTTTCTTTTATTTTCTATTTTCACCTGAAACAGCTGATTTCCTGTGTTACAGACAGAAGTAATGAGATTACATTCATGATTAGGTCCTGTGTCAGGCTGTTGATGCTAAGCTAACACAGATGAGCTGTAGTGATGACGGCGTCTCTTCTTCTTCTCTCTGCAGTTCTTTCCTTTTCTTTGTTTCTCGGACTCGAACACTGAAGGATGTTCAAAAATCAAGCTGAACTCTCAGACTTCAGCCAATCGGCTCCCTCCGCTCAGTCCCGTATCCGGGCGGGTTTCAGATGATCCACCCTCCTTTGAGCTCTCCGATCGGCTCGCGGGGAGTCGACAGGGGAGGGGCCGGGGATGTGGAGACTCCGCCTCTCTTTTGATGTCATCGCTGAGCAGCCAGACGGCGATGTTAGCTAAAATCAGTAAAGGAGAAAGGAGCTGAGAAAGTGTCGGTCGCCTCCGGGGTCCTCTGACGGTACGAGAGGGTCTCTGATCCCGAGAGCAGAAGGCGGTACAGATTTATCCCAGCTCAGAGCTCGGCGCAGCGTGAGAGGGTCGGATGCACGAAAAGGTCTTTAAACGAATAAAACATCACAGAAATAAACAAATGATTGTACGGAGCCC